TGGTTGTTTCATTTAATTTAGACAAGGTTGTTGATATGTCCCGGAAAGGGATATATTTGAACGAAGTAGCTTAGTGGTTTTGGCTACTATAACCAAGTAGAATATGGTAGCAGTAATCGACTGGTACTCGTCGTAGTCGCAGGTAAGAAGTGTAGATCAATGGCGTAGTCCAATGGGCGTCGTTATAGACCTAGCTCTCAGACAAAGGCTCTTGACTCTCTTACACTTCCGTCGGTATTTATGACGGACACCAGCCAATCATATTCTAGTTAGGGGGAACACAGGTGTACGTATATTCCATTATATCAGTTGTATATGTGTATGTATGTGTGTTCATGTGTGTGCGTGTGTGTGTGTGTGTATGTGTGTGTGTGAATTTTATTTATATAAACGTTAATTTTAAAAATTAATTTGTTTATGTTTCAGATCCGAAAATAACGTTAGCAGAGATGTGCTTCGAATTATCTTAACAAGATTAGCTTTCCTTCATAAGGTTAATTGAGTTTTGATACACCGAGACAGTCTTCTGTGACTGAGCAATGAAAAATCACGCCCGACTGTACGATGGTTTCTCCTACATTAGGAGAACGAACGTTAGAATCATATTGAACGATAAATGACCTTTTTAAAGACTTGATGTCCCAGACCGATAGACGTCAATTAGTCTCAGTAAAAAAAAGAGAGATCTTCTAAAACACACCCTAAATATAGTGTTTACAGTAAAATTATATATAAATAGAATTTTGAATGCAAAATTATTTCGTATTACTATAAACGTTATTTTAGTCGGGCCCACGTGTTTGAATTGACTTTGTCTTTTTTTATTATTATTTTCTTTAACAACGAAATCCACATCAACCAGTTAAGTCCCAGCTAGCAGAAATGTCCCAACGAGAAGTGTGCATTCTTTAAATGGGCAATTGAACGTTGCCTTATCTTGGCGGTCTCTCGTGGCCTAATTGCTAACGGCACGCTAAGGCTATAGGTATGATTTCCCTGGTGGAAAAGAGGAATAGCAGTTCGAGTGGAAACGCTCCCTTTCTTGTATCTTTCATGTTCAGCTTGAGGCACTGCACGTGACACATAGATAGATAGATAGATAGATAGATAGATAATGAGGAGACATAGATAGATAGATAGATAGATAGATAGATAGATAGATAGATAGATAGATAGATAGATAATGAGGAGACATAGATAGATAGATAGATAGATAGATAGATAGATAGATAGATAATGAGGAGACATAGATAGATAGATAGATAGATAGATAGATAGATAGATAGATAGATAGATAGATAGATAGATAGATAGATAAAAATGGACTATGATAATGTAAATATAATATAAAGATACTGAGAGACAAGTTTGTTCTAATAAGCATAGATAGATAGATAGATAGATAGATAGATAGATAGATAGATAGATCGTAGACAGAGAAATTAACGCTTCATTGTAACTGACAGCTTCACGCCTTATCTTTAAACTTGATTTCTATGTCCGCAGTGTTTATACTCGTAAGGCTTTATCCCCGATGTCGAATTTACTTGCCACCCCCATAAATTCAGCAAAGTTTAAACTATGTAATTCTTTGTTTATGTAGGTATGTTTGTTGGTTGATAGATATCATGCAACCCTCGTGGGTTTCAACTTGGAAGTCCAAATCTCAACGGACGCTATACAAATCTGGCTTAGTTGATGTTACCTTGTAAATATCAACACACATAAATTCAAGCATATATATGCACGTCGGCACAAAGATAGCACTGAAAATAAATAATTAAATAGACAGCTTCGCTGATGGACGAATCTAAATAAAATACAGGCACATTCTTACGTACATTCATATAATCAACGACAGAGATAAGATATGATGTGCGCAGAAAAAACAAACTGTCTCTACTAAACTGATGTAACGTCATCTAACAAAGTAGAAAAGGCCAGAGACGCCAGTGTTATTTTAAATCAGCTATCACGAATGTACCCAAGAAAATAAATATCTATAGCTCTCTGCCATTAAAAACCCACCCTGTACTCAGTGACTCTTCGTCGTAGTTACTTCGCTTGGGTATCCATCAGCGCTAAAACTGAGAACGAGTCATGCAGTAATCCAGTAAGTGATTTGAGGCTGAGTAGGTGTGCATAATATGCGAAGATGTCGGCGTTAAGAATGAATATGGATGACCTCGGTTAAAAGATGTTGCTTATGATTGAGGGTCTGTGAACGAAAAGAAATGTGTAGATATGTAAATGGTACAGGTTTTTGCATTAGTGCTGCCTGGAGATTACAGGATAAGTTTTTATAGCTCTTCCTCGGTTTGACGAAGATGCAAATGTACTAACGCCCAGGCGGGTGTCGAAAAAATACTTTGTACCTATCTACTTGATTTAGAAACCTGCCTTCCGGAAAAATCAACATTCGAATTATCAACTTTTAACTACGTTCGAGCACTAGCAGGGAAGAGACAACTATTTCAGCTATAAAGCGTGTTCTAAATATATGTAATAAATTTTGGGACGAGCTTGCAGTAGTAGGGACAGTCTTGTCAATCGATGTTTTAATATCGTATTATCAGATTAGCTTGTTAATTATATCCCTACAGTAAGGACCAACTTAAGGTAGATAAGCTAGCCGTGGAGGAATGCTAAAGTAGCCAGTTCTGAAGACCCTAAGGATAACGGCCATATGACGTTGAAACACGGATTTTCATATGATCCCCGATTAAGTCTGATCAATACCTAGAGATTCCCAGGTACTGCAAGCTTCAATATGCGGGTGGGATAATGGATAACGCGTCAGAGAGCTGAGTTCCAATTCCATTCGGGTTCGTTATATTCACTTACGATCGAAAATCCTTGGGAAAGGTTTAAATCCATCTATTCTCTCCCCAGCTATGGGTTAATTAGTATGATTGGTGTTTGTCAATCCTTACAATCTAAAAATATGTTCTTGCTTCGAATAACACTCAAACGGTTGAAAAAGTCATAAAAAACATTGCAACCCCCGATAATTGTAGTCGACACACCAGTACAATACAAAGGGTAGTATATATCGCTAAACGGAGTTAAAAAAAAAAAGGATGGCCCTTTGAAGTAAGTTTAGTTACGAAAAAATCAAAAGTTTTTACAATTATACTTACACAATTTGATTAAGACGATAAAATACATCCGACAGCAAGACCTCTGATCAGGAGTCTTTGAGAAACGTGGAATTGTTTGTGTTCTCATGCCCACTATGACCCGGGGTGGTAGCACCTGTTAGGGTCCCAGCTATCGACAAATAGTTAACCCCAAAACTAGGGACAAAACGTGAAAACAAAATTTAGATTTTAATACTAGCTATATACTTTTGCAAAAAAAAAATATTACCAACAATAAATTTTTGAAGAAAAATTATTACCAGCAATACATTTTGGAAAATATTACCAGCAATACATTCTTTGTAGATATTACAAGCAATACATTTTTCCAAAAAAATATTACGAGAAATACTTTTTGAAATAATATTACCAGCAACAAAAACCTTGTCGGCATTAAGGTTGATATGCCTTAAACCAAACTAAACCAAATTACAATCTGCGTGAGGGTACAAAATTTTATTAAACGTTAAAAACGGACGGTTTATAAGTATACGTAAATATATACAAAAAATATAAAACAAAGTGGAATACGAGCAACGATAAGAAAGCAACATATGACAGCAAAAGAGAAATAGCAAAAAATAGCGTTAACCGGTTATCACTCTTCACGCTCCAGAGCTCGCTCGAGCAGAAAAACATATAAATATGTGTTGAACGATTAAAAACTTGCGGAAGAAAAAGTACAACCAGGTAATCAGTATTGTAAATCCTAAACAGATTACATTTAAGCCCAGGGGCCTTTCCTTCTGCTTAAAGACGTATGGCTGCTTAGACTTAATATAAGTTGTCTAAAAGAGACTAAAACAGAATCTGAAGGCGCTTTGCTGATTATGCTGAAAAATCCCTAGTTTAAGGCGAACACAAATTAGGTTCGTAGGGATGTTTAGACTTAATATAAGTGGTCTAACACACACTTTATGGTTATCTGAATGCGCTTTGCTGATTATGCTGAAAATCTCTAGTGAAAAACAAAGCATAAATTAGGTTATTTGTTAAGTGTTCTGCAATAGCAGAAACGGAAGTATTCACAAACGTATGCAGTTTTTCACACTATCCAGGGCGGATCTTAACTGCTAGTTTTGACAATATTCTAAACATGTCGCCATTGTTATATATTTTGTATATATTTATAGTTAAGTATAAAATGTCCGTTTTTAAATCTTTAATTGAACTTACAAAAAAATCATAACTTTTCAGTTTTGTCTGGACTGACTCTCCCATCGATTAGGACGTATGAAAATCTAACAATTCAATTCTTAAAAGCGAGTCTTAAAAGACTAACTTATATGATACGGATTATAGTGGGGATTACCTGTGCAGAACAAGCAAGACTTTTTGTGAAAATGGGGAACAGGTGTACAGTGTGCAAGTTCCCAAAGAGCCTGTCTCAGGTTTTGAATTGAGGGTTTTAATTCAGTTCGACTGGTTGCCACCCAAGGTTAAAGAGCATAGTCTGCGTAGCTATTTAACTCACAGCTGTGGGGAGAAAATATGGATTCATACCTTTTCCAAGGCTATGAGTGCGAATAGGAATATAACGATCTCGACCGGATCTAGAACTCGACTCGCCGATTTTGAGTTTCGATTTTCTAATCATTATGCTACTGTACACACACATACGTAAGCACATACACACCCAAACACACACACAGAGACAAACAGACAGACACACACAAACACACACACACACACACACATATATATATATATATATATATATATATATATATATATATATGTATGTATGTATGTATGTATGTATGTATGTATGTATGTATTTAGGCAGCAATCCTTCTTTCATGCAGATTTCATTGAATACGACAGACAAGGTGCTTTTATTTAGTTTTTATACAATTTCTCATGCAATCTAATATTTTTTTTTTCTTTTCAGATGATAAATTATATAAAAACTGTCCGAATGTTTTTCACCGAGCGCTTTCGGCTATACATTTAGCTGTTTTCAAGGAGTAAATATTTCAACTGAGACTGAATATAATGAAGCACAATACCACATCAGTATCAATATTTAACAATGCACACACACACACACACACACACACACATATATATATATATATATATATATATATATATATATATATATATATATATATATGCGATGGGTAAATTTTCGTTACTTTATATTTTTAATTTCGTCCATGCGTGTTATTTGTTTTTGATTTTGCCAACTGCACAGTATAGTGAGTAGTTGGGTACAGTCCGTGAAAGAACGAGCACCGTGACGCATTTCACTTTGCCATAAATTTGGAAACGGTATGCTGCACAGCTTGAAATTCGCACCAGAAGCTCCAATCCGAACATTTCAGAGAGTTTGGGTGTAAATCTGAGGACGGTGTAGAGGATTCGGAAAGAGTTGGATGAGTTTAATTGTGATTACGAAGCTACAGCAGCTCGGAAAACTCACTCTGATGGTTGTGATAAGAAAAGAACTCCAGAATATTTTGGTGCGGTCCTCAGACTCAACACCGTGGCCTATATCAAGTGCCTTGAGGAGGTAGAGTTGCCTTGGGTCAACATAGTGTCTGTGGGAAGAGCCTATATCGAAGAACAGGACTCTGCACCACGTCACACAAGAAAGAGAACCCAGTCATGGTTGTTCGACAATTTCTATGACCACATCACCTCTTACCTGTGGACACCTATCTCCCCAGACTGCAACCCATTTGATTATTATGTATGGGGCGCAGTTGAGCAAAAGACCAACACAACTCCTTGTAACACCAAAGATGACCTGAAAGCAGGATTATGGCATCATTCATCAACTTAAACAAGGTCACTGTCCAGAAGAGATGCAGGAGATTCCGAAGTCGTCTTAATACCGTGTTGGAAGCCGATGCATTTTTATTAAATTTACTCTTTGGTATTTCAAGATATTTTCTTTTTTTACTTTTTTTTTTCTTCTTTTTTTTTTTTGTAGTTTTGGTAAATATATCCGTTAAAATAAGATGTCAGTGTTATTTTTCAGTTTTGCGTCATTTAGACGACAATTTATCCATCGCGCCTCCCTCTCTCTCTCTCTCTCTCTCTCCTACCTACCTACATATTTATCTCTCTCTTTTTCTAATTCTCTCTCTCCCCCTCTCTCTCTCTCTCTCTCTCTCTCTCTATATATATATATATATATATATATATATATATATATATATTAAATACACTGGTACACCAGTGTATTATGGCAATAGTAGGAACACCCCAACGTGCTAATTATGACCAAAATCCAACAAGTACGAAAAAAAAAGTAAATGTTTTCAAAGACGACGTAAATCGTGGCACCGAAATTCGAAGGCGCATAAATATGTCTTCCAAAACTTAAGCAAACTATTGAGAAACAACAAATTTTTACTTCAAGGCATTGGAGATCAGATATTTCCACAACTTCCTATCACTTATGGCCCTTAGAAACTTTTCTCCCTTTGATAAAACCTGCCATATTCTCGCATCTGTTCACCCATACTTGTCAGGTAAGTGTCTCGCAGCTTTCTCTTATCTCTCTTGCCCTCAATATGTCCCGTGATGGTTAACCTATCTAAGCCCCCCCCACCTTTTCACTTTATGTATCCAAGGTATTTCAGCTGTCTTTTCCTGGTTCTGTATTGTTGCCATTTTCTTTAAGATGTCCTGGTTTCTTAATCACCCCGTTCATGGAAATGTCAGTGTCCATATGTAGAACCACCTTTCTACTTCTCCCCGTTTTTACTCCTCCCTGAGGAGATTGTCCAGCATTCATTGTTATATAAGGGGATGGATAAAGATTATTGAACGCTTATTTAATATCAGTCCTCCTATTCTGGACAATCTATGCAAATCTATACCAGCTGTCTTAGACTGTTTAAAGCAAAGAGTTATGAATAAAAGATGATCAGACAGAGCATGATAGTGGAGGCCAGATGGATGTGACATTACAGTTTTTAATTTTAGAGGGTGGGGTTCGGTTTTGGCAGAACACACCCCTGGATCTATGGTGTCGTGTATGAACTGATAATACCTGATTATAGGCATTATCGCTCACCGTGGTCAGCGTTGTCGCCGACCACGGTCCTTAATAATCATGACAAGAGGTACATAATTAGCATTGTCTGCATTAACTGACACGTAGCACTGGCTAAATCACATCTACAATGATATAGATACGAGATACATACCCAGTACATTATTTCAGCGTTCTATAGCTTCGATGAGATACGGAAACAGAAACGTCACGAGGGTCCACCTGTTAATATGACGACATCGACAAATGTTTCAATCGGGCTTGTGGGGATAATGCGCTGTGTCGTCAGGCCCAAGTTCCTCAGATTTTATTTGAAGGTCAGTCTGGTAACTTTCGCATGTGTTGCGGCTACGACGTGACTACGATGTTCGCACGAATTTATGGGATATGATGAAGAGGTTTATTCGAATGCATGATCCCGCGCCAATAAATATTAGGGACTTATCGAGACGGCATAACCCCAAAATCTGACGTCAAGTTACTCCATCATCTACACGATAGCCTGCCAAATTTGTATGACCTTTGATATGTCATTGTATATGGATCGATGTCTTCTTTGGTACAGTTGTAATCAAGTTCGCCTTACGGATAAATTCGCTAATATCGTGACTTGGATGTTCACGGACGTTCTTCTATTCTGACCTTGTAGCAGACTAACTTAAATTACGTAAGTAATTATATAGTATTTCGTGAAAAGAAAAACAACTCATCTAATTGTTCGTTTTGGTAAATATTTCACTTCGATAAGTGAAAAAGATAGATTTCCAATGTATGTTTAGTGATCCAATACTTTTATAGGCTAATGTTGATGTAGATTGATTGGGTTCAATATTTGCCTGTGATTGGATATTTGAATCTTATGTAAATGCTTATTTCTCCAGAAACATCGCAATCGGTGCCGTCTTGTTTGTGTAAAATCCACTGTACTAACACTACAAGAGTTAAATCTACATGAAATATCTTATTTATATTCTGACTATAAATGCTTTATGGAAAGCGAGAAACGAAACCTTCACCTTCCTTTTTCTTCATGTGTACATGCGTGTGTGCGCGCACGTATGTGGGTATGTGATGTGAGACGAAAGGTTTATGCAGGCCTGTGGATTTTAGTTTGCTTTCTTCTTCCTCCCAATGTGATTGACACGAGTTACGACCAGCTCTTCTCCAAAATTGTTTAGATCATATACATTATTTATTTTATCAGACTCAGATAATTTTCCTAAGTGTTCACCAAATACAAATGACGTCTGTGCAGCAAGATAAACACAGGAATAAAGAGAAAAGTCGGGGGTCTGCTGTTGTAAGTGAGGTAGTTGTGCATTTCCCTGAAGTACCGCTCATATGTCTTTAAATTCAAGTAAAAACCATGATTTCGTAGGCTGATTTTAAAATCTGACAAGTTCTCTCTGTGTGGGAGATTGGCGTAGTACAGTCTTCTCCATTTTTATATCCCCCCTTTGATCTTGAAGTAAACTGAATATATTTCAAGTGGGCTTCGTGTTTGAGTCACTATTGGAAACAAGATAAAAACCAAAATCCGAATGTTGATTTACAAGTTAACTCGTCCTTCGCAGCTTAGATAATTGGCACTAAACAATCTTATCTTCTTCCTACCCCCCTACTTTGTCTCTGAGCCTTATAATGGTTAGTATATAGGGAGGAAAATTGTTTCGTGGGAAGTTGCTTTTTTTTATTTACAACTGATATCAGTTGTTGGTGATCGAACCCAGTTAAAAAGAGGATTAAGCACAAGTCAGTCTACCTACAGCTCAGAAAATTATTTTCATATAATATTCGTAGTGTCTAAATGATATATCTACAAGATGCTATGGATAAATTATCGTCTAAACGACGCAGAAATTGAAAATAACATTCACATCACATTTTAACAAATATATTTACCAAAATTACAAAAAAAGATCTTCAAATACTAAAGAGTAAATATATTAAATAAAATCTCATTTGCTTCAACCACGGTCTCCAGACGACATTGGAATCTCCTGCAACCATTCTGGACGCTCCCCTTCTTTAAGCTGGTGAATGTTGCCACAATCCTTGCCTTCAGTTCATCTTTGGTGCTCCAAGGAGTTGTGTTTGTCTCTCGGTCATCTGCGTCCCACACGTAATAATCAAGGGGGTTGCAGTCTACGGAGTTAGGCGACCAGATGTAAGGGGTGATGTGGTCGCAGAAATTATCGAACATCCATGTCTGGATTCTCCTGCTTGTGTTGCATCGTGCAGAGTCCGGTTGCCAGACATAGGATTTTCCAGCAGCCACCCTCTTGACCGAGGACGAACACTACCTCCCCAAGGCACTTGATGTAGGTCTCGGTGTTGAGTCTGAGGGCATCACCAACAAATTCTGTTCTTATGAGAACGAGCAGATTGAGTTTTTCGAGCTGCTATACCTTTGTAATCACGATTAGACTCGTCCAATTCTTTCCGAATTCTCGACAGTGTCGTCAGATTAACATCGAAACACTCTGAAATGTTCGTATAGAAGCATCTGGAACGAATGCCAAGCCGTACAGCACGCAATTTCCAAATTTCTGGCGGAGTGAATTGCATTATGGGGCTTTTTTATTCTCACAACTGACCCTAGTATGTTGTTCAGTTGGCAAAATCGAAAACAAACAATGCGCCTGCACGAAATTAAAAATATAAAATGACGACAATTTACCCATCAAAACTTTACCTGAGGAAAAATGTGGAATAAAAAAAGAAAGAACCAAGAACATAAAAACAAGGCGAAAACAATCGTCCATTGCTCAAGCTCCAAGTCCAAAGAAAAACAAAACAAAACGAGTAAAAAGACAACTACGTAAAGAGCTCAATACACTATGTAGAGCAAAACCTAAGATTATATATATATATATATATATATATATATTACAATGAATCATTCATACAAAAAGTAGATTAGTACAGTTGATTAACTTTACTAATC